CGCCAGGCTTCATTGGTAAATATTAATATTTACCGGTAATTATAATTATTTTGTTTCATCATTCTCATTGGCAAAAAGATGCGATTATTAATAGTAAGCGGATTTATTACATGAACCATAGCACATAACAAATTACTGGAAGACTTTTCAGAAGTATAAGAACAAATTACTGATTGCAGTTACATTCATAGAAAGCGATATAAAAATGATCGTTTCGTATGCGTTTATTAAATGATGTCACGTGTTCAAAATCATCTTAGAAAGCTTACATAATTTAAATCAGTTTTTAACTAGGAATCAAAGGTTTACGAACAAATGTTCAAGTGCACAATCGCGCAATCATTTTAGAACACCCTGCCTTATATATAAAAGTACGCAAGTTCTGAACAAATACTCTTAACAACGAAGTAATTTTAACAGCTTAGAAAACAGAATATTTTTTTTTTTTTTTTCATTCGACAAGGATTATTCGACGAGAGTATGCAAAATTAATGCGAAGAAAATTGTCAGAATTATGATTTTAACTACTTTTACCCAAAGATAAGTCTGTCGATCTAAAGGCCATATAAAACTGAATTTATAAAGTGCATTATTTAATTTTCGCATGCGTTAGAAACTGATACAATGTTATTTACATTTTTTGGAGATTTTTATTTTATTTCGACGTTTTTTTCGGTTTTTAATGGTGTTTCAGCCCTTTACGTATCAAATAAGCAGTAACGGTAAGCTTTCGCAAACGGAAAGTGGAAAATAAAACACATCATGTCAAAACAGCGGGATTACGAAACAAAAGCTTAAAGCGGAGCAATAAAATATTGTCGGCAATATTTTAATGGTGAAATGTCAGGGTATATGAACATCTTAGTTTATAGAAGAAAGAAGTTATAAAGCATTTTGATAAAAATAAATAAATTAAAAAAAGAAACTGTTCGACTGTATGAGCGGAAAAAAAAAAAAAAAAATTCTCTTTTCTAAGCTGTTAAAACTTCGTTGTTAAGAGTATTTGTTTAGAACTGTGCGTAGTTTTATATACCAAGGCAGGGTGTTCTAAACTGATTGCGTGATTGTGCACTTGAACGTTTGTTCATAAACCCTTGATTCCTAGTTAAGAACTGATTTAAATTATGTAAGCTTTCTAAGATGATTTTGAACACGTGACACCATTTAATAAACGTATACGAAGCGAACATTATTATATCGCTTTATATGAATGTAACTGCGATCAGTAATTTGTTCTTATACTTCCGAAAGGTCTTCCAGTAATTTGCTCTTTATACTTCTAAAAAGTAAAAAAAGAAAAAAAAAAAAAAAAAAGAAAGAAAAGATCCATAATACAGTAAATCCTTGCCGAACTCGAAGGTTGCGTCATTAACACATTGCGCATGTAGCAGAATCGCATTCCGCAGAGTTGACTTTCAATGCGAAAAACGTGTTAGGTATAGTTCAGATAAGGAAAGCATATATAATTTATATAAATTCCCTAAATATTATTGTAATTAAAAGGGGAAAATGAAACAAATGTTAATTGAAAGGATTTCTGTTTATGTTTAATGTGTAGATACATGATGCAATTACTATTTGTTTAAACTGTAGAGACGTTAGGTATTTTTGATGAAGGAGAAATGAAAAAGGAGCAATGCCCACGCCGGGACTCTATCCACGGACTCGAATACGCGCCGAGCGTGCTGACCACTACACCACGAAGGCGTGCTAAGAAGGCGGGAGAAATGCCTTATAAAACAGATGGTGATTTTTGATTGGGACAGTCTCTTAATGTAACTCATTTTGCGGAAAGGAGTGCAAAGTATTTCAATGAATCCTCTGCTTTTTTCAGTTGGGTCAATCTCCATTACGAAATCAGCAGTTCATGTGCCTTTGTTAATAATTCTTTGAACTTCTTGTATGTTAAGGCTCTTCCTCTTCTTTATTATCGCTGCTTTCACTGTCTGCTGATGTTATAAAATCATGCGTTCCCTCATTTTTAGTTTCACGATCATCATTCTCAACTAATTCTTCAATTTCTTCTTCCTATATCTTCTCAGACACTTTTTCATATCCGAAAATTATTGTTCACTGATTGTTTTTGGTGCTTGTACGATTTCCTTGGTTTCATTTTCAGTCAGTGGAAATACTTTAAAATTGTTGACAATTTCTGGCCAGAGCTGATGCCAGCAATCATTCATTGTTGATGAATTCACTTGCTCCCTCGGAACGGTGTTCGATGGATGGATGGAAGGAATAAAACTTCTACATTTGGATGCAATGTTCTGAGGACTTCAGCACTGTGTTCTGAAGCATTATCGAGTATTACAAGAACTTTAAAGCTCAGGTTTTGCTGTTTTAAGGAATGTTTGACTTCTTAAATGAATGAATTTTCAAACCAGACATTAAAGAGAACTATCACAAGGCACCGACAATTTGCACTGAGTGTATTCACGTTGGGCAAGTTAAGATAGTCTGAATCATGTTTCGTAAGTCCGCATTCGACAAGGGTTATTTGACAAGAGTATGCAAAATTAACACGAAGAAAATTGTCGGAATTATGATTTTAACTACTTTTACCCAAAGATAAGTCTGTCGATCGAAAGGCCATATAAAACTGAATTTCATTACTTACAAAATTTTGAAATTTAGTATTTATGCAATTAGTGATTTGAAACAAATATTATTTCTAAGTAAATAGTTTTTAACGTAAAAGATATGTCAAATTTCCGTTTTTAAAATTTAACACGGGTATTATCTCAAGCAATATTTATTCTGACTCTCTAATAAAAATCTTAATTAATGGGCTTTCAACTGCTGGGAAACCCCCCTTTTTAGGATCTTGGGAAGGGGGAGTAGGCTGTTGAACTTCGAATTAGCAGTCTGAAATTGCAATAAAAGGACGTGGATGAGTATTGAAAAAGTTAAAATTTAGGCCTCATGCTAGGCCAATGAAATGAGTACAAACATTTCATTTTTTATTAAATCTGTGACATATATTAAAATTTGTAGCAAATAATTTACACAACTGATATCAAATTTTCTTACCCTAAAGTAGAGATAATTTAAGTTTTTTTAAACATAATTTCACATTATTGTTTTATTGAATGCATGCATCTTAGCTGATATGGCAATTATTTACTCTTGGAAGATCTACTTAAACATATTATAAAGCTGGATAATATGATTAGTTGAATAAAAAAAATTCTTGATTATTATTTTCAACAAGACAGTAGGCCACCTGTTACCATGGAGACTATTTATCGGGAGTATATCCCAATCAAAAATTTGCTGCTAAAACAAAGACAATTTGCGAGAATATCTCAAGCAAAATTTTCCCACTAATTTGAATAGGCCACTTCTCAAATGTATTTTATTTAATTAAACCCCAGGCAGGGTTAGAAATTTCCTAATTTTGTGCAAATGTTGCCTATTTTCTCTGAAACATTATTCTGAGGTCTTGAAACCAACCAGAAAGAATATGAAATAAGACCGACTGATACCAAATACTATTACAATTATTATTTTATTACGGTATTTCTTTCTGTTGTATCTCTTGAAATATATCTTCATTTCAGGACAGTTCTGTGTTGGTTCAATAATTATGGCAAAGCACATGAGGGCAGGCTATCTGCATTAACACTTTATTTACAGGACCTATCATTTTGACGGATTTCGGACTTCACGAGCAGAACTGCAAAAAACATTATTATTATAGTTTTGTGATTTATGCTGATAATAATTGACATAATGAGACGAATACATAACCAAATTTATTTCCCCTTCAGCCTTTTAATTTCAGTCTTCTGTATTATATACCTATCTCTATGGATAACTTGTCAAAATGACGGGTAAACTAGTTTCATAGTTAATCATAATAAAACGGCTTTTGTAGGTAATTATTTTTCTGGTGACACATTTGAAAATAGTTAGAATGTAGATATTAAATAAAAATTATCATTCAACGAAAACATGTTTCGATAACTTTGAACCCAATATAAACGCTGCGCGGTTCGCCAGAGTAAGGGATAGGTCATGTGTGATTCTCTCACAGTCGTACGTGTCTAAAGTGTAAGCATAAAAAGCATTAAGAATTGATTTGTAGTATTTTGAGTTCCAGACGACAATGTGTCGAGACATTTTAGAAAAAATTTCAGCTAGTTCGAGTAGAGACAATCGAGAAGAATATAATTATGAATATTAGAAATATCTACTTTATTCTGACGAAATACCTTTCTTTAGTCATCATTTGGAATTGAAAAAGAGATGTTGAATTGCTAGAGAGAATAGTTAGCATCGACTACTGCACTGGTATAAGCTTTGGTAAGTTCATTAACACTAAAACTATTGTAATTTCACTGATAAAAACAGCTACAAATTCATCAAATTGACGGTTATCGGTAGTTCTAGTGTTAAGATTACAAGTGTTCTAAAATTAAAACAACCTTTTTTTTAAATACGTGGATTTTTTATACTTGTCAATTTGACGTGTGGCGTTAAATATAGGTATACATAATCCTAATGTTAAAAAGGTATGCATTGATGGAGAACGTTCTAAGGGAAATTAGGTTGTACTGAAGTAAGCATAGGAAAAACCGCAAAAGGTTTATGCAGCCAACCGGAGCGACTTAAACTGAATCTGGTCAGATAATCAATGTCACATAGAGCTTGACCACTTGGTCATTGGTGAGTTCTAGTCGTATGATTTAAGCTTCTTATTAGTCATAAAAATCTACAGCTCTGCAGTATTATATTCGTCATTCATAATTATTCAGTAACATTTTGGCAATTAGTTAAAGTTTGACACAGGAAGTAATTAGAGATAACAAGATTGGAAATATCTGTTTTACTGTAATGACTTCCAGTTGCTGGTGATATTCTTAATTTGTGGCCAAAGGCTTTGATGAAATTAAGCAAATCTTTTAGTGCATTATCATTTTGTTGCATTTTAAGTAATTAATTTTACAGTATATTTTCTGCTATGTAATTTTAATATTTTATGTCTTTTGTAGGATGAGATGGAACCGAAGCCTGGTCGACTGGTAAAAGCTCTATATGAATTTCCAACAGATGATGAAAGTGAGTTACCCTTAGAAATAGGGGATATTGTCCAAGTTCAAGAGAGACTTGATAAGCAGTGGTGTCGAGGTATTTGCAACAACCACGAAGGCAACTTTCCTATAGGATTTACTGTTGAAGTTCAGATTCCTCCTCTAGCTGATCAACAAGAACTCTTTGCTGTTACACATGATTTTGTTGCTCAACAAGATGGTGATCTCACTTTAAAGAAAGGTGAAAGATTTTACCTCTTATATCATTATAAAATCATGCATTTTTTTATCATTTTAAAATCATGTATTCCAGTCCTGCAATTAGTAATTACTAAAATGTGTTGAGAGTTCGTGATTAAATGTGTTGAGAGTATAGAGTTGGTAATTATCTGTTGTAAACCGAACTGAATGGCTTAGTTTGTCTGATTATGGGGGGGGGAGGGGACCCACGAGGGCATTCTGCCTTGGGGGATGCCTTTGTGGAGGATTTTCTAATAAATGGTGGTTGGATATTGAGGGAATATTGGGTAACATGGAGCTTCTGAAGTTCAAATTTTGAAACAAAGTTGCTGAACCATATAAGGGTTCAGCTGGTCCTCAGTTATGTTCAGATAATCCGCAGCTTTCATGGTCTGTTCTAGCACAACTAAGGGCCCCAGAGTCGCCCTTGAGAATATCCCCCAAAGCATAATACCGCTACCACCAGCCTGTATGTGACCTGCTGTACGGGAGGGGAAGCAACTGTTCGCTTGGAAGACGATGTACCCTGACATGCTCATCGACATGATGTATGAGAAATCGTGATTCATTCGACCAGGCAACTGTCTTTCACTTATCCATGGTCCGGGCTCAGTGTTCCTGGGCCCAATGTAGGCGTAGTTGGAAATGACGCTTGAGAAATGGAAAAACGTTGGAAATGATGCCACAGAGACACATGAGTGGGATGTCTGCTGCGCAGTCCATATCCAACAGTACCCTCCGAACTGTGTGTTCCAAAACACTTGCACTGGGACCTGCATTGTATTGTGCTATCAGCTGAGCAACCGTCTGGCGCCAATTTTGCTGTACCAAGTGAGACAGACTGCGATTCTTTTTTCTTTGATGATGTGTGGACCTCCAACACCTTGGCGTCTACGGCTGGTTTCACCATCATTTACTCAGTCGTTCAGTTTCGGAGATACTCCTTCCGAGTTTTCGGGCTATTACAGTCTGCTCTCTATCAAATTTGCTTAGATCAGCAGCCTTTCCCATCACTTGCAAAAGTAAATGCAAGAATGATTTCTTACCTTCTACAAAAGCAGTAGTTAAATATCATTCTTACTTAATCACTTGCCCTCCACGTCATCCAGACGCGTTCATTGAAAAATGAAGAGATGATCATAATGTTTTGCCTCGTCAGTGTATATTGCCCTCAGTCGGGTGAAAACATTAGACAGTTTATAAATGAACTAACGATGATTTCAAATTTTATCATGGTAAAGGACCTACTGCACCAACCATTAAGGAAATTAATAATAAGTATTCAAGACTTGATCGATATCGTTGAGAACATTGGTTGAACGATCAAGGCAGTTCATTATGATTGACAACGACGGTGAAACTGCATCTTTGATTATTACTATGTTTAAAGTTTGCTTGCACATTATAATGATCATATAATATATGAAATAATAAAGTTGTCCGATTTTATTGCGATATCTGAGACTTCGATGTTTGAGGATGAACCTATTCAGGTGTAGGTTTCGAGATGAAAGCATTTATGAACAGAACATTGAAAAGTTGTCCTGAAGACAGACATCAAAAAACCAGTTGTGTGGCTATCTACGGGAGTTGAAAGAGCTTTGCTGATTCAGAAGAAATAGGGGACTGTGATATACGTATGGTCGATGTTACAGTTGATGGACAGTCACATTTTATATGGGCATCTGTATACTGCATTCATCTATCGGTTAATTCAATCGATTTAAAATTGTTTCTCTTTAGTGCGCTTATGAGGTACTCAGAGTCAAGTTTGTTCATTGATGAAGGAAGTTCTACAGATACAGACATACCGATTATTATAATGCGAAATTTTATTGTAGACGCGAAAAGCCTTTCGACTTCATTCGGTTCTTTCAATTTCGATTAAAGGACTTTGATCTGCACTTGGTACCTTGTGAGTATTCGACAACATGTGGCATCTCATTTATAGATCTGACACTCACACGATTGCATAAAATAGTTATGAATAGAAATTATATATAAAGATGAATAAATGTTATTTACATTTTGGAACAGAAATTTGTTTTGGAAAAAAATTTCCCCATTCACAAAAGGAACAGTAAGTCTACGCATTAAACCCCAGCAGAACAGATAGCCTGCAGTCAACTTTTTTTTGTTTTCCAAGTTCCAATGGATTTTTATAGACAAATTCTTAATATTTTTCCTTTTAAACTGAGTTTTTAACTACACACTTGTGAAATTTTAATGGAAGAAATTATAATAATTTTTTTACAGGAACATTTTTGGATTACATTTACAGTAATCCAAAAATTCACCAAATTTTCTGCTACTGAACTAGTATCTACCTCTGAACGCCATGCTCCATAAAGGCTTTAATTAAAAAAATTATTTTTATAAAATGTATTTATTTAATAAAGAAACATTACACTTCAAAGATTCAGAGTTAAAGACTTTTTTTATTTACAGTACAATCAAAAGTCGTTAATCCGGACTCGTCGGGACTTCGGCGATTCCGGATTATCGATTTTTCCGGATTATAGATCATCAGCTTAAATCGCGTAAGATGGCATGCAGAAATTCTAAAATTAAAAATATGAAACCGTAATTTATGAAATAAAGAACAATTATGATCTAAAGGGTATCAAAATTTACAAAAAAAAAAAAGCTTAATATTTATTTGTTTACTTAATATTTATTAAACATTTATTTTTTAAAAAAAAAAGCTTAATATTTATTAAACATTTCTTTCAATGTAAGTTGTTTGTTGTATGTTCAGTGTAAGTTGCTTCGTTTTATGTGATAATACTTTCTCTTTAATTCTATAAACAGACATAATTTTTTGTTCGGTTACAAAGTTCCGCTGTTCAAGTCCTGTTAATTGCTGTGCCGAGAATACCGACTAACTTGTCAATCGAAATTTTTCGTTTTCACTATCCTCTCTGTCACATTCTTCATGTCTTGCAGCAATTCCACTTTTTGTTTGATGGACATCGAAACATACTTTCGTTTTGTACGATCCTTTGGGAGCTCCAGATTCGGAAATTCTATTTGACATAATCGAAAGTTCAAGTTTTTCTTATAGTATTGCTCTTACAGTCTGCAAAAAATAATAAGCCGGATCCAATTCGAAAATTAAGGAACAACGCAATCATCAACATTAACTGAAATAGATAATTAGATAATTTTAGCTTATACCGTTCGTTATACATAAAGCACGCACGCGAAAACATATTCTGCGCTTGCGCACGCGCAAATGCGCAGTCGTAAGAGGTCTTACGCGCACGCGTAAACGCCTATGCGCATGTGTCAACGCGGCGCATGCGCAGAAAGTTTTTAGCTTTAAGGTCCGGATTATAGATCATTCCGAATTATGGGTGTCCGAATTAACGACTTTTGACTGTATATACTAATTCTTTTAGGCAAGTTAAAGAACCCTGCTTTCTATAAGAATGTACTTTGTAGAACAAAAATAACTTTAATTAAATAAATATTAATAAAATTTTTTTTTGTATTCACATAAAACTAAAGTAGTTATAAAATGCATGAATACTTTACAAGCAGACTATAATATTCTCCCACGTTTTGATTATACAGCATAATCAGAACATTGTACATCATGTTTTTACATGTTTATAACACAAGTGCACAGTATAAGGCAACATACATTTAAAAAATAACAAAAATTGGAACTAAGGATAAATAATCTTAATTCTATGTTTCACAAAAGCAGTTTGTCAGGAACTTTTATCTGCCTAACCTGATCTGGATATTTTCATTTTAGATTTTGAGACACTTCCATTGTCAGCTGAGTCCTTATTATCAATACAATTTATTTTTTTCTGCTTTTAGAATGTCATACATGAATGAAACCTTTCAAGCTGTGGTCAAACTTTATGGTTGTTCTACCCCATAAAAGTACAAACGACCCTACTATAAATTTTCGTGACTGATAATTTGAATGCCACTGCTCTAAAGAACACACCTGTTGAACTAGATGAAATAATTTCACACGAGAGGTTTGTACTTTGATTAGTTGAACAAATCCATCCTTTCCTGGAATAAGTTCTATTATTCGTCCCAATGGCCAGCTGATTCTTTTACTGTTGTCTATTCCAGTTATTGTATCTCCAACAGTTCCTTTAGGAGCATCTTTACTTTTTGCTCTTTTTAACCTAGTATTCGCTTCTGAATAGATTTTTCAAATCACGTTGCCGTTTTTGGTCTGTATTTGATCATTTGATTTTGATTTAAACTCTTATGGTCAACAGCATCAATATCCAGGATATTCGATTCCTTGATGTCTTACAGGAAAAATGAAAAGGATGTAGGACTTAGTTGTTCATGTTCAGATTGGTAGGTGAGAGGTCCAGAACTCATTAGCGATTCGCGGTCCCAAAGACCTGTCACAAATGCTTCATAAAGCATTTCTGCTGTACCTAAAAGCTTTTTTAAGAGTTCTTCATCATTTGAATCGATGGAGGTAAGAATAAAAGGAGGTGCCAACCTCGCACAATGACTGGGGCAGTGTTTTCAAACTGTGGTTTCCATAGGAGATGTTTTTTGTTTACATCTAGAGCATCCTTCACAACATTTTGATATAATTTCCATGCGTGACATTTCCACACAAATCGAAAAGCGGGGACACTTCTGCATAAAAAATGCATTCATTGTTGAATGGATAAAAACAAATTGTATAGTTGAGTGGCATTGATGCAAAAATAACATCTTGGTTATTTTTTGATAACTTGCAACAGGAATTTGGCTATGAATTTGTTTCATAAAATTCTAAGCTAATGAAGTACAAAAATATAGATTTTAGCAAAATGTATATTATGCTTAAATAATGAAAAACACTTTAAGATACATTTATAATGTCAAAATATCACAAAAATATAACATACTTTAAACCTCAATTTCCTTATAATTAAGGCATATATCCTGGAAAATTTGTATAATTTTAAATATTTTTAATTATTTATATATATGTGTATTTTTGAATTTAGACCAATTAGTCATTTT